TAATAATTATAATAATAATAATCATGATAACTCTATGAATCTATTATTCCGTACTATAGGTTTTTTGTTGTTGTTCTGTTAATTGCATAATTATATATATTCTCTATCATTTCGATTCCTCGTTTGAAATTCTGTGGGTAAAATACGTCACGGATAGATAAATGATCGGGAGACGAGAGATGAGGGAGGAATAGTGCGCAAATGTTGTTAATTCCTATATGTTTAATGATGATCGGATCGCAAACGAACGACAGGGGCTTGATTGGGTTTTATACACATTATACGGAGTAATAGCACAGCGAGAATCGATTATTCTTCACCTTCAATCGTTACGTACTCTTTTGCTCGCTTGCGGTACTCAACGTTGCTTTTTTTTTTTTTCATCAATTATATTTACGCAAACGCCCTGTCATTCCTTTTTTTTTTTTTTTTTTTTTTCACTCGCTCGCTCGTTCACTTTTGGGTCGCTCCTTTTCAAAATTACGCTAATGGCAGCACGAATACACTGTACCACAGAATGTTTCGAGTATATTTACACAAGGTTCTCAATAAACCAAAAGTCGTTGCTGTAAAAAGAGAGGCTCCTCGCAACGCAGGATAATTCTATTTTTCATCATCAACACCATCATTTCATTATTAAAATCACCAATAATTCTATCCATTGCGAATTAAAATCATACGAGCAACAATGAGTTTTTGTCCATTCCCACATTTAGCTTCGTTACGGAAAGTTCATCGATGATCCAACAACCGCGTGAGTTTGCGATTAAAAATAATCCTCTCCTGGTACCTGATTATCGTCATTATTGCATTACTGTTACTTTTTATTTGCCACGAATTTCGTTATTCACGCTAAATCTATACGATTTTAACGCTTCATTGTCTCTGTGTTTCTTGGCCATGGGATAAATGTTGTCGTTGGATCTTTCGTTCGCGAATCATCGAGGCTCCATCACGTTTCGGATCAACCCAATGAAAATAACTCGATTGTTGGGGTGTAAGCGTCACACATTGTCATTCCAAACGGCCATGGACAGACGTTGAGTCGAGGGGGGAAGAAAACTTTGTTCTCCACACTTATAATAATAATAATAATAACAATAATAATAACAATAATAATAATAATAATAATAATAGTAATAACGGTGATGGTGTTGACAATTTGTACACGTAATGATAGTAATGATAATAATGACCGTTAAGGTCAATTCGGCAGGAATCAAGAGAAGTTCGACGATACTCGCTTAAACGCTTACGGTGCTAAAGTGTTTATATGTATAATATGTATATACGTACAAACGCGCATAATCAACAAACGTAGGTACAATGATGATGATAATAATAATAATAATAATAATAATAATAATAATAATAATGTGTATTTTAGTTGTATAATTCAGTCTACGAAAGAATGAAAGTAATGAAACGAGATGATGTCGAGCGATTATTGTTAATTTCGTTAATCACCTACTTACAAGTTTAATCAAAAGTGAGCAACTGGATAATGCTAAGTTTTTTTTTTTTTTTGTTTTTTTGTTTTTTTCTTTTTTTGCTTTTTTTCTTTTATTTTATTTCATTACTTATTTTCCTATACGATCTACTATTTTTTTGTTTATCCATTGTTTCAGTAATATTCCACCTTTGCAGCGCGTATAGCCGCATAATCGTAAAAATGTGTCGTCGACGGGAAAGTTTTTGCGTTACGCCGGGTCAGACCTCTTGTTTTTTTTTTTTCTTTATGTTTTTTTTTTTTTTAAGTACATAATTATAGTATTGCACGAGCCGGCACAGGGCCGCCAACATTATCGGAGGCAGCCCGCCAAGTAAATATATATAAGACCTTACACTTGTACATATGAGGGTTTTTATTTTATCTTCATCTTTAGTGTGTATATGTGTGTGTGTGTGTGGTGTCCATGTATTATATATATACGCAAAAGACTTTTGGCTCACAGCTCTCTGTCGTTTATCACGGCGTCGTATAGTCGCTCGCGCTTGTATCGTTATGTATCTATATATATGTATATAAATATGTGCTGTGTTTTGGGCAAATAAAGCACAGTATTTGAAAACGTGTACATCATCACCCGTAACTGCACAATGTAATGTATGCATGTGCATGCAAATGTATGTATGTGTATACGTCATGTTTTTTTATATTATAAGTACTTACAAAGAGTACAATCGATTGTAACAAAGTCTCGTGTGTCGTAGTTTACGTCCTTTCACGCTCGCGTTCGTTTGCCATTTCCCCCTCCCCTCCCCCCTTACTTTGTGACACTATTCTTCTTCTTCTTTTTTTCCCATCGCCTCAAGCGCGCGTCGTGCCACGAAATTTCTTTCCTTGTAGCGAAACGCACAACGTTGTTTCGGCATCTGCAGGGCACTAAGCGTGAACAAAAAAAGATGGGGGAAAAAAAAAGCCACGATGCGCCGAGCAGAGGAGCGGCATTGAAAAACAAAAGTCTCTCTCGCACCTACGCATACTTATTATCCGCGTTGCCAGCTCAGTCTGCATGAGTATCCGCGTCGATCCATTTATTTATTTATTTTTGTATATACTATGGCTTAATACCTAAATTCGTACTTAATTTCACTATAAGTATGTCTATAGTTGTATAGCATCGTTATCATGAATCCCTAGGCGCCACGTATGCGTGTATGTGAGTGTGACTGAGTTGTACAAACAAAAAACACGGTACATTATAGTCACGGCGCAGCAAGGGGGAGCTAGACGGTGGTCACGTACTCCCTGAGCTCCTGGCCGGGCTGCCCCGCGACCTCGAGGACGCCCGGGTACGAGTGCCGCGAGGCGTCCTCGCTCTTGGCCCGCGGCACGTGGTGGGCGCGCCGGCTCGGCACCTCCTCGCTCAGGGAGCGCTTACTCGCGTCCATGTGGGGCACGTCGAGCGTCACTGCCACCGACCTCTGTAGCTGTGGCCGTCGACGCTCCTCCGGCTGGGCTTTGACACGCGAGGAGGAGGAGGAGGACTTTTTCCGGCCCGAGCGGATCTTAAAGGTCGAGCGCTTCCGGGGCGTCGGGGGCTCCTCCTCCTCCTCCTCCGAGCGCTGCCTCAGTGGCGACCAGACCGGGGGCTCGGGGCGTGGACTCGGCGGTGGGGTCTCCTCGCGCCAGGCGCCCTGGTATATCGGGAAGGCCGACACCTGGTTGAGAAAACGCATGCGCCACTCCTCGTCGTCGGTGCTCCCGTAGGCATCGGTGGCCGGTGGTGGCAGCCTGGTCGGGGTGACGTTGCGAAAGTCGTCGCGAGGCGAGTCGGGCTGGGGACTCGGCTCCCGGGACGAGCCCTCCTGCCACTTGATGTCCGCGAGTTTTTTCACGTCGCGCTTGCGCATGCCGACGCTCGGCAGGGGCGAGCAGCCCTCGTACGGGGCCCACTTGGCGTCCTTGCCCAGGGCAACCTCGGGCGAGACGAGCCGGCGCACCAACCGACTGTCCAGCCGCAATATCTGGCGCGGATCGGGGTCCGGGGATATGCTGCGGCGCACGCTGTACTTGGGCCGCTCCTTGAGGCTCTTGCTCTTGCCGTCCTCGAGGCCCGCGCCCCGCAGCCACTTGGACGACGATTGCTTATCCCCCGGCAGGGACTGGTGCGCCTTACCCTGGGCCCAACGCCTCCTCAGCGTACGCTTGCCACACTCGACCGCCCCAACGGGCTTCTTTGCTTCCTCCTGCTGGTAATCGACCAGAGGTGGTGGTGGTGGTGGTTGGTCGTCGATGAGGCCGGGCTCGGGTGTGGCCGGCTGCTCGGGCGAGGGCGTGCGTGGGGGCGGTTTGGGGCAGGTGCAGCGGCGCCGGGGGTTCTCGTGGACCTCGGGCACCTGGAGGGTCCACTTGCGCTCGAGGCGTCCACGGCCAGCGCCGTCCACGTAGCAGCTGTCGTCACTGAGGTGTTTGCGCAGCTCGTGCTCGGCGTCCTGGCGCAGGGACCACTTGTCGATCTCGGCGCTGTGGTGCTTGCGGAGATCCCGGCGCTCGCCCGGCCTCGTGCCACCCGGGAGCAGTTGGTCGTCCCCGGTGGTGGGCCGACGGGGGCCGTGGCAGCCGCATCGGGTCGCCTGGACGTCGGTGCGCGAGGTGTGCAGCTCCCAGCGTATCTCGGCGCCTTGGCTGGCGTACTTGTGCAGGTCGCGTAGCGCGTCATCGGGGGAGAGGAAGCGCCGGCCCGAGGCAGTGCGGAGGGATTGGCCCTTTATGCGCTGCTGGCGCTCAAGTACGTCGAGGTCCTCGATGGTGTAGGTGATCTCGAGGGGCCGGGGGTAGCGTTGGGGCTGGCCGCATCCGGAGCACTGGGAGGGGGAGTCGTCGGTGGGTCGCGCGGTCGTGGACTCAGCGCTCGGGCTCGGTGGGGTCCTCGAGGTCGAGGCCACCGGTGCCGCGTCCGCGTGGTCAGGCCGCGTGGGCCGTCCGTCCGTCTCGGCTGGGACTCGTCGATCGTCAGAGCGTCGTGACGTCGCAGCGCTGTCGGGCGATCCGCACCAGCAGGTGGGTGTAGCCTGTTTATACCACGACAAGGAGCAAAACGTATATATACCGTTAGTTTCGTACGACTCGGTATCTTGGCTGTGTAATATATATGTATGTAATATATACTGACCAGGGCTCCGTCAAGCTGCCTTGGTTGGTACCACGACTCTGGAGACAACGAGGCTCCGGTCGAGGTTGCTGCCAGTCGTCAGGTTGCTCTGCTCCGTCGCCCCGTAGCCCTGTCGTGAAAACGTCGGGTGTTTTTTTTTTTTTTTTTTTTTTTTTTTTTTTTTTTAAAAAATCAACACCCCACAACACAGTTCTTTGTTTCTTTTTTTTCAGTACACAGTTGACACTTGGTGACACATGCGCGTGCAGTTTGATTAGAAAACGAGACATGCTTGTGAAAGTAGAAAACATCGAGTTTGGTCAGACGGACCGCACATGGAGAAGCGAATGTTTCGTGTGAAGCAAAATCAAAAGATACAAGAGTACAAGTTTATTTTCATGCTTTGATTCCTCAGTAAAACTAGACACTATACGCTTATCATCCAAACTATGGGTGCATCGTTATTCACATTATATGCCGTACATCCCTGTCGGAGGATGGAAATTAAAATTTGGAAAAAAAAAAAGAAGGGTATAAACACCTCATGCGTTGCAACGATACGATGAGCGGCAAGAAAAAAAAAAAAAAAAAAAAAAAACAAAAAAAAAAAAAAACTCATGCGCATAGATGTGAAAAAGGGGGTGGAAAATAAAAAGGTACAGGTGGTTTTCAGCGTCGGTGTTTTCTAACCGCGGGCACCGGTGGTGCGTGAGCGGTGCAACAACGTGCCTTCAACTCGGAGAATATCTCGGTGAAGTAGCCGGGCTCGCTGTTGATGCGCAGCATCTTCGAGCTCAGCCGGTTGACGATCAGCAGACACCGGTCCCAGAACTTGTCCTTGCTGTCCTCGACGAGGAACGGCTTCAGCGGGTAGCTTATCTCGTTCCCCATGTAGCTGTACGAGAGGTACAGGCAGGTGAGCACCGTGGCTTGGAGCTCGCGCTCCGACGCCTCTTTGCCGTCGACGAGCTCGCGCACGAGCATGTACACGAACACCACGTTCGCCGGGTTTATGAACGCCACGTCCTGGAACAATTCATAACGGGCTATCTTTACTGCGCTATCGTGTCTTTACAAATACATTATTATGTAGAGAACTGTACTTTTTTTTTTTATCAAGGAGTTTTTTAATAATATTATTTCGTAGAGCTCGTTTGATATCATTTTCCAATAAAAGTGTCCTCATTGCCATTATATTTTGCAACTATGAAAAATGCACCGATTTTCAATGCGATTGAGAAAAGTGTACGCCAAAAAGACACTCAAGGTTATAGAAGCTCTTCTCAATCTGATGGCGTCGTGATTGAACATTTTAGACGTGTTTTGAAAATGATCAAACGGACTCTGTGTAAATGAGAGCTATCAAAATTATTGGTGAGATGTTTAGCTCAAACTGAGTTCAATTCTGTTTGTATTGTTTGTGGAAATAAAAAAAAAAAAATAAAAAAATGTATAAGCTTGACACAACCATAAAATGTTAAAATAGGTGGAAAAACCCCGAGTTACGTTGGGTCTTGAAATTTATAGCTTTACAACACGATAACGTATAATACGACTATTTTGTTTTATTTTCATCACCTAATGGTGATATAATTTACTCATTATTTTCCAGAAGTCGTCAACTCCACTTGTCGTTTTAATAAATCCAACGAAAGCCCAAGAAAGAAATGAACCGGAACCCAACTCGAAATTCAATTAATTACTTCGTGTACTTATATACCTATACATACATATCATCTCTCGACTGAGAGCAATCGAAAGACCAATGAATATACTTTAACGACGTGAAAAAACAAAGTATCCCATCATCACAATTATAACGCTACATACGAACAGTCCATCGATTCGCTCGAGCGCGCACAGCAAAATCGATCCTTTATATCGTACGTACGTCGATGATAATCGTATTATGTATTATGAAAATCATAAGTACAATGTGTTATGTACGTATAGCGATTCCACACGACGGAACGGACACAATAAATTTTCCTTCGGTGTGTCATATCCCGTATATCCTATTTGCAATATAAATATAGACAGTAGCGTGGGCGTACATATACATACAAGTATGACAAGGCTACATATTATACACTGCACGATTCCCGATGAAATCACACGTCTGACCTGAATATTTGTTCAAACGATCGAGACACAATAAGTATATATATTATCAGCGTCGCTTGTTGTTATCATTTGAAACTAAAGGCGTCCGTAGCATAGAACACGAAATGTTTTTCCACGACAGTAGCGCGCCGTACAAGCTCGACGCGTCGGTCCATTATATTATATACTGGAGGCCACCCTCGAGACGATGTTTTTGTTTTTTTTTTTTTCATCTCATAGAATGTATAGGTGCCAAGTACAAAGTGGCGGGTCAATACTGCTTGTGACTGTGAAGTATCAATAACGCCATTTAAGTCACGTGCTGGGTGAATGGTACCTTGTACGTTCATATAGGTGCGTATACCCGTCATTACCTATAGGTACTCGTGTGGCTTTACCCTGTAATCATCCGTAGGCGTAAATCGATGGCATCGTAATACCCTAAATTGTTGTTACAATCGTAGTCAAAACCAATGAACCGAGCTCATTTATGATATACACAGCACATTTTGATTCAATTTACCTGCGCAGCTTGCAACTTCGACTTCATGTGTACGCGTATACGCATTGACCTGATATACATTATTATATCAGTCCCGTATAATATACTTGTACATATATATATATATATCCAAGCGAGTAATGTATACATATAAAAAGTACAAAAGAGACCGCGATTCCCTTTTTTATAACTCCACGACGCCCCTTTTCCTATATAACGAAAGCTCGGCCGAGCGAGCCTCCTGTAGGTGTATTCATACCTAATTTACCTGCGCTAGATCGCGTCTATTTCTGGATATACCCACTTGAAAAGGGAAAAAATACTCATTTTTTTTTTTTCCTTTTTCTTCAGCGCAGTTTCACTAATTATTAAGTAGGGCGTGCAGAGCGACAAAAGCTACGAGCTCGCCTTGCTTATTCCTCGCATCGGAAGGACTCATCATCATCACCGTGTGTTATATAATATAATATATACACGTGGGTGTAAAGGTATTCATCTATACAAGGTAAAAATATACATGTCTGTGTGTGTGTGTGTGTGCACGCGAGTGTGAGGCCCCGCAGTGACCTGGCGCGCTGCTGCAGGCTAGCTGTGTGCATCAGCTGATCGATGACCCCGATGGGCGCTTTTTCCGTCGCGTCGAGGCTGCTTTGTGTGTTATAGTTTTTCTATGTGTGTACCTGTATATATATATATAAATTTATATAGTTTGACATACATGTGTGTGCTGCGCGACAACCCCTCCAGTTGTAATATATGTATATACAATACCTACGTGTGCTTTAGCTATTCCCTATATTTATGGACATGTGTACATATCTTATTCTCGCGTCATCTCTCGCGCTCGACGCCGTTGATGCAATATTGCTCGTGCTCCCTTTCTTCTTCCGAATTATTGTACAAGTTGCATTTTGCGTGAAACTACGGGTTCTCGTGTTATCAATTTTTTTTCCGTATTTTCGTTTAGTTGGTTACTGTGTTCATGAATATTTTACCAAAATACCTCTATACTCTCATTGGAATAGACGACTCATTATTTTGTTAAAACTTGCTAGAGGCGTGAATGTACAATAAATTTCCTGGCGTTTTTTATGGACATGTCTATCGAAACCATATAAGAAGGTAAATATACACGCGAAAAAACCTTGGATAAAACCCGCCAGACTGTGAACTAAAAATCACCTTTAAATAAGCTGCAAGTAAAAAACCCCGATATACGAGTAGACGACTTTTTGCAGAAACTTACGTTGTTCGAGTTTATGTACGACCGATCCTACGTATATGCAAAAAAAGATTGAAAAAAAAAAAAAAGCAAGCGAGTACGAGAGGGAGGGAGAGAGAACAGGAGAGTGTACAAAGTACTGTGTAATTATACACGCGGCCCGAGAAGCCACATCAATCGCGCTTGGAAAAATTCAAAGGGCTCGCACGGTCGTCGTTACACTGCTCTTGCCGACGAGTGCAACAAAATGAACCCTTACACTTTCCACGCAAATGCGTGGATATATTGTATACGAGGGGACGTCTCAGCAATATGTGCACATGCATATATATATATATATATATACGTTGGGGCGATTTTCCACAAAGTTAAGTGCATAAATTTTGTAGGACAAAGGAGGACGGAGGCAGTGAAAAATGGCAAGTTTTAACATTAACAGGTATATATATATAAGCAGAGACCAGAAAGTTCAATGTTGCGGTCCACTGCTCGCTCCGTTCCTATGTATACGTGTGAATACGCATACACGAGGAGGAGAGTTTGCAGAAGCCGGAGGCGTGGTGCTAAACACTGCTGGGTGCTATACTTACCCTGTCATATATAATATACATTACACAAATTCGTGTGTAGGTAAGAATTCATTGCGAACTTGAATGGGCGACCAGAGCTCTGAGACGCGTGTAGTTTTGTAAAGAAAAGAAAAAAAAAAGCTGATACAATGAAAGAAGAGAGAGAGAGAGAGAGAGAGAGAAAAAAATAGGGGCTTCGTTTGGCGTCACTCGAAACCCCGCGCGTCAAGCGGAAACGAGTACTTACTTAAAATGAAAAAAGCTCAGCCGGCGTGATGAAGGCGCGAATATTTTTGAGCACCAGAAGCGAGCAAAAGAATTTTATTCGAAGATATCGCGCGCTTGACCTCCCGACATTGGCCGAAACCATTTGGGGGTATATATACGACATTGTATGACACGCGCGAAAATGGAAGCTTTGTATATAGAGTAAAGGTTCATCCGGGATTCTACCGACTTATATAATTAGAATGACTACTCGATGTACTTGCATATGACGTATACGTTACATGAGTCTATATTTGATGCGGAGAAAACTCGTCCCGGGACCTGACGTACCCGTGTTATACATATCAGTAGAGATCGCGGACGCGAGGGTACAGCCGACCGTACACATAACAACAATTGCATGTAGGTGGGTTTACGTAAGTCCTGGAGTCGAGGTATAATTGTTACGGAGAGGACGCTGGGCGCTGGGCCAAGATCAGGAGGAGGATGGCTATATACTCCCCTTTTCGGTCGATATTTACAGGGGTTAGCGGCCTGCTTGGCTCCGCAGCTCTCCCTTCCTCTGCACTCGTATAGTTTCTACTCCCACTTCGGTGCACACAAGAGTCCTGTGCAACAGCCAGTCCATCCCGTGTATCTAATGCGCTTTGCGGTTGCATTACGAGCCCTGTATGGGTTGCTGTAGTTGTGCATTCACTTGTTCTACATCCGCGCGATGCCGTAAACCTTTTGCGATTTTACAATCTTTATGAAAAAAAGGGAGAATGACGAGTACGGGATGCGACGGTATACATGTATATATATATAGGGTTTCCCTTTGGTTTTTCACGTTTTACTGGGAGTTTCACCAACATTGTCCTAGATTTATATAATATTACGCACCGTGACGAAAGTACCGTATGTCCGATAAATATTTTAAACAAATATGAAACAAATCATGGTGGGACGACTTTTTTACTCCAACTTATTTCAAGTACTGTAAATGATATTTACAATTTTGCTCATTTTATCCAAACGTACTGTTTTCGTAATTATTTTACCATTAAACTGTATTTAACTATTTCTTAAATCCAAACGAGCCCATTATTTTTCGCAATAGAGCTTTTCAAGCTTCCATGGGCATATTTAAATACGCAAGTGGTGTAAGGTCCAACGTGTGTGACGCGAGCTTGACATTGGCGGATGGAAACTGTGATGTACGTGCAGATGCTGATCCTATTATTACCGCTGCGTTGTTTTTTGGCTTCGCGGCTTCCGATGGATAACACGCGAATCACGTCCTGCGAAACGAGTCAAACACGAGCGCCCGATGTTATTGTTGTGCATTGAGTTACTTTATTTATTACTTGGTACCACCTACTACAAAAGAGTTGTAACTGCAAACCGATAACTCCCCTTTTCC